TCCCTCACTGCTGAGGATCGTGACTCCGTCCGATTTCGTCAACCAGCTGTCTCCATCGAACCCATTTTGTAGCTTGGTGGAGTGCATCGTTTACAGGTACCCCCAGTTCCTCCGCTGTTTGGTCCGACCATCGTTTGGGACCTCAACCCCTAGGCCTTTTTCCCTCTATTTTACCGGTCACCACAAGGCGTTTCAAATTATATATCTAAATTACATATTGCAAATACTTAGGCTCATGCTAATCCGAGAAGTGCAGTACAAAAGGACAGCGTTTCTTAGTTTTCCTTTTTATGGTTTATGTAAATCGTCCAACTTCCATCGAAGCGCTGGGGGCCGGAGGTTGGGCACGTCGGAGTAAAGCCGAGTAAGGCCACTGTCGCTTGACACGCCTTCTCTGAGATTCGGTTGGCACAGAGTTCGTCCGTGGCAGAGGGTGGTCAATTTAACGAGTTTTTTTTGGTAGAGTCAGTATCTTCAAGCTTTATAATTTTTTTTTTACTTTTTTTCTTAGTTTGTCCGGCGGTCGTACAGTGACAGATATAAACTATACTTTTGTTCTTATTGGTTACTGCTCTGTTATGAGATTGATACTCACCTGATATTAGGCTTTGTGGCGAAGCTTGGGGGAGGCCTATGTCCAGCAGTGGACGTCTGTGGTCTGATAATAAGAAGAAGATATTGGTAGGTCACTCACATACAGCACAAGGTGAAAGCTGTTACCTACTAATGTCATTTTTACTGGTGGGAGGACATATTGTGAGTCCGCATGGGTAGGTACCACCACCCTGCCTGTTTCTGCCATGAAGCAGTAATGCGTTCCGGTTTGAAGGGTAGGGCAGATGTTGAACTGTAATAACAGAGACCTTAGAACTTATATCTCAAGATGGGTGGCGGCATTTACGTTGTAGATGTCTAACCACTTAACACTAGATGGGCCGTGAGGTCATCAACGCATCAAACTGGTATGTTGTTTTACCGTATATATCGCGCATGTGCTTGTATTAAATGTAGCCTACTGACGCGACCAACCTTGAATGCGGATGAGACATCCTAAGATATTTCCTACAATACTTTTAAGGCTTTTTAACCGAACCACTCATAACAACCAGCCTCCTACTAAAGACGCTAGTCAAAATGAGGCCAATGACCTAATTACTATAGAATGTTTCCGTTACCAAAAATACAATTACTGCGTGTTAGTAATAGAAAAGTATAACTACAATAATTGTGTCCATTAAATAATTGAAACAATGAAAATTAATGAGAGCACGCAATACTTAAGGAAAGTTTGTTCCACTGATATCGTTCCTTCATCTTACGTGCTATAGTTATTTTTCGTTTTCCTACTAATCGAATTATATTATAATGTTGGTGTGCTGCGTGTTTTGTTATCTTAACTCTTTGCTACAATTTTAAGTTACAAGCGAAGGCGTTAATAAAATAAAGCGTTGAGCTTTTACGTTTATTTCAATACGAATACTGATTCGATGATGCAGTAATTAGTTAGTTAGCGCTCTTAATTATTGCGCCGGGGGTCGTGGGTTCGATTCCCACATCGGGCAAACATTTGTCTGTTTTGTTTGCACATCGTCTGGGTGTTTATTATCTATATATGTATATATTTAAACGTATATAAGCCATGTATACTAGTTTCTGGTACTCAAAACACTGGGAATCCTAATTTGGATGAATTCGGATGACCGTGCGTGATTTATTCACAGCTATTTATTGTATAGATTATTTATTTAGTTGTTAATTTATTAATTGAAATTGATTTGAATTGCGTTTGCATTATTATTAGATCATGCAAAAAAACAAAATGCCTTAATGCGTAGTAGTAATGTAATGTTCGAATCAAGCGATTGTTCGCAGGCGACAAAACAAAAATCGCGTACTCTTATCATTTGCGCCACCGTCTAACTGTACCCGTGCCCCAATTCCCGCGAAGGGCGAAACGAGATGCGTGTCGCACAAAATTAAAAACGTAAATAAAATATAAAAAAAATAAACCTAAACATTAATAAAGATATCGTGCTGCCAGCATTTAACGAAATCATTTCGTAACTTTTTTAATGTCGTGGGGCGCCATCTTTTGTTTTATGAACAAACAGGAAGTGCGTTTTCATTGTACTGTGATTTATGTTCATAGTAATTTTTACGTCTCTTTTGTAATTCTTATTGTTTTTTGGAACGAAGTTCCATAAGGGACAATGCGGAGGGGTACCCTAAACGGGAAAAAACGTCCGTAACGTAAGATTTTTATTAGCAATGCACACAGTGTACGACTTAACTTTGTAATAACGTACAAAAAAGAACGTATTTAAATTTATTATATATTTTTTATAAATTATTGTGAGTAAAATAAAGCTGATAACTTTGTAAAGTAGTTTTTTTTATCAATAAAAAAATCATAATAAAACATGTATACCCGAATAATTATTTTCTTTATACCTCAAATAGAACTTAAAATTAATATTTTTTAATAAGGAACTTCGTTCCTATCCGGTGTCCGACGACACCACACATATTTTTTTTATTTTTTTTTATTGCTTAGTTGGGTGGATGAGCTCACGGCCCACCTGGTTAAGTGGTTACAGAAGCCCATAGGCATCTACAATGTAAATGCCGCCACCCACCTCGAGACATGTTTTCTAAGGTCTCAGTTTTTACAACGGCTGCCACACCCTTCGTACGCATTACTGCTTCACGGCAGAAACAGGCAGTGTGGTGGTACCTATCCTTGGGGACTCACAAGACGTCCTACCGCCATTATTATTAAAGTTTAAAAAGAGGTATTCACTCTTTGGTTTTTATTTGAAGTTCGTGGCCTAATAAGTCTTAATTCCTAATATGATATACTACACAACGTAGTTCTGCGTAGACACAAGAAATATTACGAAATCAAAACGTTTCCAATCAAAGTAATAGATAGTTTTAATCTTTTAGCAAAGCCATCTATCCACATCAAAGCCAGCTAGCTATCTACACAGTCGACTCCGAAATGCTTATATAATTAAGTGATTCTATTAATTGTAGGAAATTCTCTCTATTCTAATTAGTTGATTATATTTACCAAAAGTGTGAGTGGTTAGTGGTTTAGCTCTGCCCCTGGCATTGCTTACGTCCACGGTAACCACTCACCATCAGGTAGCCCTTATCCTCGTCTACCTACTAAGGCAATTACAAAAAACATCCATTCAACACACGGGCTGGTAGTTATTCTTTGAAGCATCAGAATATGTGCTGCTCGTAATTAAGAAGACATTTGGTAAATAAATGCAATCCTGGCAGCGGCTTGGCTATCACGGTAGACACTAATGACCAAATCATCAAGTCGGCCGTACAGGCGTCGTTATAAAAAGCACTAAAGAATAGTCATGAGTTTTAATACGTTTTGAGTCGAAGTTTTAATACTACAACCATGTTTTTCGATTTATTTCTAAGATCAAAAAGTATAAATAAAAATGTTTGCAAATAAAACGATTCTTAAAAAAGAGCAGCTGTAAATCTTTAAAACCTCGAATGTTGCCAGGCCGTAACTAGTGGCCAAATTACACAAAAGATCGGTAACGGATACGGAATGGAGTTTTTTAAATTGCGAACGTTGCACTGTTCTGTGTTGCCAGAACGTTTGGAATGTTGCCAACATGAATTCGGGACGACTTTGAATAAATGAAGGTGGATGAAAAAGATTTGTTGCTCTCGGCTATTATGTAGTGGACTTGTTCCAATTGCTTTTTATTTTTTTAATTGTTCGTGACAAATCAACGAATTTCTGAATTTACTTAAATTGCTCTTTTTAAACTCGCTCGCTACTGTCGTTGTAAGAAAATGAGAACAATTGCGAAAGTGTTATCCATTTGTCGCTACCTAACTTGCAGTATAGTTCTTAGCTCCACAGAATATTAAAACAGTGCCTGTCAGCTTTTAGGCTGGACTTGAAATTACTACAAATCCTACGCCTCCTGGCTGGGCTAATGCTCACCCACTTATCCATTATGTGAAACTGGAATTGTATCCGGGCCACTAGTAATAGCTTCCTTCAAAAATAAGGAATTTACTCTTTAAGTGCAATTATCATTGCAATCTTGTTTTAGGGGTAAGCAGACACCTTTGGCATTACCGACTTCCATATACGACAATGACCGCTCAGCACCAAATCAACAAGCTTATATACTTTTGATATTTACATAGCGTCAGCATCAGCAACGACAACTTTAATTAATGACATAAATGATAATTTAAAAAAAAAAGAACAAAAATACATGCGCATAGTCAAAATCATAAATAGCAGTTCATTTCTAAGTTATAACTAAACAGATATCTGCAAGAGCGGTCCCCCTCGGATCTGAATGAGAGAAATAAAGTAAGGCTCGTGAAATATTGCGTTACAGGTCCCTACTTTGTCTATTCCCCTTTACGCTTTCATTGTACCAACAATAGCTGTGTAGAGAAGGCTGGACGTTCATTTATTCAGTGTAGCACCGCTTACTTTGGAACTCGGCCAGATTTCACACTTTTTCGAACAAGCTATGAATAATAGAAGAGGCTCTAAAATGTTCAAAGGTACAAATGAAATGATTTTATTGAAATGTTTTGTTTGTGTGTGTTTTTTAAGCTATGGCGAGGAGATAAGCTCAAGGCCAAACTTATATTAAGGAGGTCTTGGAGTTCATAGACGTGAGACTTAGACCTTTCATGTGCAGTGGCATCCATTAGTCGGATAGCTTTTATTAAAGTTTCTAAAGCTACTTACAGTTTCATACAAAGTATAATAATAATGAGATTCTACACGACACTGTGGAGAGGTTCTGATTACATTACATACAAACTTAGCATAAGTTATTCTTCTGCTAATAATAAAAATTACTATACTTACAAATATATGCGATTTATTACGGACCAGTTTTTTTTCTTTCAGTTAAGGTCTCTTAACTACATAATCGAAGGAAATTTCCAAAAACTGATTAAATACGACAATCAATTGCCAACAAAACACTTCAAGAATCGTCATAATAATTAGGATTTAATGCCAATTTCCTAGCTCTTTCATATCGCCTGACCAACAAAATCACATCTTTTATATCTATATCCAATCTAACCACTTTCTCGTACATCTTGATATGAAAATGCAGTGTGGTAGTTCTCAGATATTGGTTCACTAACGTCGTATAAATCATCATTTGCTGCTGTTTTAACTGCCTTAATAAAGCGAAACAAAACCCTATTTTGTACTTTATATTGTCCCTATACTTCTTCCTCAACAGCTGTGCGTAGGGCAGCTTGTATCTCGTCTCGTAGATGTAATGCTCCATAAGAGCTAAAGTCTTATTCTTCTCAATCGAAATCTCCGTAATGTTATCGTCACTGAAGTATTCAAGTCTTAGGTAATTTTTTCCGGTATCTATTCCTTTTATCGCTTTCTTTCGTAGTTCATCGAACCTTCTAGTTATTTTAGACGGATCGTCATCATTGTTGTTAAAGTTCGGGATTTGGCTTGATTTTTGATTCAATATTTTAGCTATTTTGACATTCATTCGTCTCATATTCACATCTTTAATTGTAATTTCGTCATTTTTGTTCCTTACTGTGTGCGGAGTAGCCGCTCGTATATTTTCTGTTGTTCTAATTTCTTTAAGCGTTCTAGGGTTTTGTGTGATCTTTCTTTTTCGTTCATTTTCTATTTTCTTCAGATACGTTTCTGGATTTGGGTTCGTCACTCTGTATACATCACCTAGTATGGATTTGAATATGTCGTCAGCGTCTTCTTCGAATATTTTTTGTAATTGGGATGCTATCTGCGGTATGCATGCATCTGAAAACAACACTACACTACAACTTATTTGAAAACAACAAAAAATGTGACATGTATTTTCACCGTATCTAAAGAAAGTCGTACGATGTTTTGTTATGAAGAATTGGATAGCCAAGCTCTTTTTCTTTGCAAAAACTATTCAACAGATTATGTAACTGGTTGAAGATCCTACTCTGAAACATTTTTTAATTATTTTAGAGTCGTGAAACCGAGTGAAGCAATCACCCTAAATCGCCCTAAAATCAATATAGTACAGTATCAAAACGGTGCCGCAAATAACATAATGTTACTCACACGAAATAATGTAATACTGTATAAAGAGATGCATCGTTACAAAATTAATTAATTAAGCCAATTAAATACGGATCCATAAACGTTTTACGATTATTACTAAATGGAATTGCTCAATCGTTTCATTTATTATTCGAATCGATTGTAAATGTTTACTGTTTTCCTTTGTGCAGATATATCATTTTGTTTTTATAGCTAACTCACACTGACAAGTTGAGTACTCATAAATATATTATAAATAATTAGAATACTTATGTGAGCTGACAATATATAAGGTTAATTTCAGATCTGTGATAATTTAAACTAGATTCGTGTATATACCGTCACATCAATAGCACGGCAAATAACGTACTTATTCTGCGATGTTCATTGAAATACAATCTACCAGTATTTGTACCACTATTCTGTCTATTTTTGGCCCGAAGCCGTCAAGCGGTTGATTTGAGCGGTGGGACAGTGTTTCATCATCATCATCATCATCTCAGCCTGTCTGCTGTCCACTGCTGAACATAGGCCTCTCCAACTGATGTCCAGTGCGGCCGGTCCGTTGCCACCTGCATCCAACGTGACCCAGCAATTTTCACCAGGTCGTCGGTCCATCTGGTAGGTGGCCGTCCCACACTGCGTTTGCCAGTACGTGGTCTCCACTCGAGGATCTTTCTGCCCCATCGGCCGTCCGATCTTCGCGCTATGTGGCCAGCCCACTGCCACTTCAGCTTACTAATCCTACGGGCTATGTCAGCAACTTTGGTTCTTCTACGGATCTCCTCATTTCTGATTCGATCTCGTAAAGAAATACCAAGCATAGCCCTCTCCATAGCTCGCTGCGCGACACTGAGCTTCCTGAAAAGATCCCTTGTGAAGCACCACGTCTCGGAACCGTAAGTCATCACTGGCAACACACAGTGGTTACACAATACAATAATAACTGTAACTTCGAGCTCAATATCTCGAGGTGGGTGGCGGCATAGACACTGTGGTATCTAAGAGCTTAAAACCACTTAAAACTAGATGGGTCGTGATCTCGTTCACCAACTACTAATACTACTACAACAACTTTTATTTATTGCTTAGATGGGTTGACGAGCTCACAGCCCACCTGGTGTTAAGTGGTTACTGGAACCCATAGACGTCTACAACGTAAATGCGCCACCCACCTTGAGATATAAGTTCTAAGGTCTCAGTATAGTTCCAACGGCTGCCCCGCCCTTCAAACCAAACGCATTACTGCGTCACGGCAGAAATAGGCGGGGTGGTGGTACCTACCCGTGCGGACTCACAAGAGGTCCTACCACCACTACTAGTACTAGTCTACTAATTAAAAAAAAAATGACAGTCAATTTCGTCGTTGTTCGAGTTAAGATTGCTTCGTTGCTCCGAATTTTAAGTCGCAATAAAAAACAGACCTGTTGGTACGTAAAATCGAGGATCAGTGAACACACTGTTGTTGTTTTTTTTATAGCACATATAAAAAAAAATCGTGTTAATCTAAATTATACACTATTAGTGGTCTCCCGGTAGTCGAAATTCGACTATAATTAATTGAAATTATAATTTTGAATATTATTATGGTTCGATTGTCAAAGACTATTTATTATACTTCTATAATCACAGATTCCGCCAAGACTACACTATAGAAAAAGAATATTATAGACAAACAATATTAATCTATTTTCTCAATTTGACCACAGACTTTAAACAGTAATAAAAGTTTGACTATAAACAAAGAGTTTAAATGATTATACATATGTGTCGTGTCAAATAGATGTTAGTGTGTGTAATGTTTTCGTTTATTGATTTAAAAGTATTTTTTTAGCGTAATGACAACAAAAAAAAAGGTTTTTCTGCATCCCTTCTCTACATTCTCTAGAAGTGTGGGAAATTTCATACTCCTCCATCCGCGCAATTTTCGTAAAAAGAGGTACAATGTTTTTGCTTCACGTATTATTAAATAGATATTGCTCCGATATGTCATCGAAATCTGTTCGGCATATTGCGTGGTTAAATATCGAACATCCCAAAGATGCCAACTTTGACATTTATAACATTAATTTACATGGGATTCCGATACCGGAGGGAGAATAAACTTATCTGTCCATAAACTACACTATTTAAATACCCGATCGCGTCATACAAAGAATGATTCTGAAACGCACAAATTCAGGCATTTTATCTATGTGTGTATTTGTGATTGGAGGGTGTTCATAACCGTAACAGCGTTGTTTTTAGGTCAATCGATAGTTTCACCGTTGCGAACGGTAGATAGCCACTCTTCTGTTACTACCAAGGTAATCTTTGCAGGCCATCAATCCTACTAAATAAACTTAGGTACACGTCAATTTGGTGCTATCACCCTCTGAAGAGAATTCGCACGTGCATCTTGAACAAAAGTTCTTATTTTGATATGTCGAAAAAGAGTATCTTTAAGCGAAACTAGAAAGGGGAGGGTATTCAAACAAAGGAAAACAATATCAGCCAAATAGCCGCCACTGTTACGCTTGCAAGAACCAAATTATTTTCATGAAATGGTCCTGGTATGTCCTCGACAACTTCACGAATTCCATCTTTGAAGTCTTGAATCGAGTATGGGCCATTGTGATAATACTTATCTTTCACGTGACCTCAATAAAATAAGTCTAAAGGTGTTAAATCATGAGATCTCGGTGGCCAAGTATGATCGCCTCTTCGAGAAGTCAACCGATCAGGCGACACACAAAAGATCGATGGTATCGTAACTTATGTGGCACGTAACACGGTCGTTTTGAAAATAAGGGTCGCCCAATATCTTCCAATTCCGACCGTACAAATTCATTAATCATCGTTCGATAGAGCAATCCATTCGCCGTGACAGATGTTCTAATCTTGTTTTAGAAAAAAGTAAGGTCCTATGACCCCGCCATACAAAAAACACACACCAAACAGTCACACCTTGAAGATGAAGAGGCTTTTCAACTATAATTCTTGGATTTTTGGGACCCATATGCAAAATTTTTGCTTGTTAACGTAGCCTCCAGGGTGAAAATGGTCCTCATACACTCGTGATGATTCGTCGATGAAATTTTTGAAGGTCAGTAGGCGGGAGTTATTTATTATGTTAACTGAACTTGGCTAAGACCTATATTTTTATGCAAAATATGGGGCACGATCCTTTCTGAAACACTCAATTCCGCAGATCTACGAGTAACGGAGAAGCCTGTATTTTTCTCAACACTGTGATCTACATCGGTAATCTATATAAATAAAAATGAATGGTTGTTCGTTAGTCTCGCTAAAACTCGAGAACGGCTAGACCGATTTGGCTTATTTTGGTCTTGAATTATTTGTGGTAATCCAGAGAAGGTTTAAAAGGTAGATAAATATGAAAATGCTCGAAATTAAATCAAAATAACAATTTTGTTTTTCCTTTGATGTGTCCCCCATCGGACGGATTCCTTTTGTTTATTTTAAGTTTATTTTATACAAAAGCTTAGGTGTTTTATTTATCGATTGAGGCACTACGAAGTCTGCCGGGTCAGCTAGTATTAATAAATATCACGAATTTCTAAATTAAATGATGAAAATTATTTATGTATTTTGTTTTTTTTAAGCTGCATGTAAAAAAAACACGTTACAAGGCTTGCATTAGATACAAACTACATCAAAGATCCACGGTCATTAACTGGATTCGTTTTAAAAACGGAAATTTTCTTATATGAATTCGTAACGATAAACCGATATCAAAACCATTATTAGTCTTATCGCGTTCACGGAGAGTCTCAATTTAATTTCTGTGTAACGGCGCGAATTGATTTCATTGAATATCTTCGAAACGCCTGTGATGTTAAAACTCAGTCTTCTGCTATTGAATTTATTGCTTAATCTAATGTCTAAATATTAGCGACGGTATTCTCCTTTACGTTGAGCTATTCCGATCTATCTATTTATCTTCTTGATTCTTCTTGACTTATGATCTATTTGTCTAAATTAATAAAAAAGCTTAATGGAGAAATCTTCATTCAACTCCAATTCTTTAAAGCCTCGGGAATACACAGACAGTTTAGTCATTTTATTCGGTTTGGCCAACTTATGGGAGATCGATTTTGGGGTATTTTCCAGTCTACGTTACACAATACGACACGTTTTTTTAGGCTTCATGGGATCTATTACAGCAACGTTCAATGCAGCACAGAATTCGTTAGATAATTGAATTTAGGTAGGTTTCTTAAATATCCTTTAGAAATGTATGATGTTATTAGCTCTTCACAATGCTCCAAGAAGGATGAAAAATAAGCAAGAAATTTAGTCCAAACTAGCTTTTGCCCGCGACTCCGTCCGCGTGGAATAGTTACTTTGGCATAACGCTAAATTTTACACCCCACTTCATTTACATAGAAAGTGAACATATTTTGAAACATTCTTTATTGGTGCTCCACTTGCATCGGTCTCATATTGCTTATAGCC